TATTTTACACTTTTCGCTTATTAACAGAAAATGTAAAATTGTTAGGATACTATAATATAATATTCATACAAGGAGCATTCCGAAAAGTTAATGCATTATTATTTTTAATTAATTTATTGAACATATTTTCACAAAAACTTAAATTCTTCAAAATACTGTCGCTTGCTTCATACAACATTTTTCCAGCGACTCGTGACCATGAACGGTAGGCGGCCTTTGCGAAAGGCGTTTTCGGGGACCTCTCGCAGTCTTCGTCACGGCTGATTGATCTTGCTTCGATGGACGCAAAACTGGTTCCTTTCAGGGCACCTTAACCCGGAGGGAAACAAAACGAGAATCTCTGGGGCGAGAGCAGACTGTAGGGAGAAAGGGAAGCATTGGCACCGATATTTGGACCAGAAACTCGCGGACTCGTAGCGCGTTATGCAAGCGCGCGTTGTCCGTGATGGTTTGCCAGGTAGTGGAATGACTTTTTCGTCCTGACCGACCGCATTTTCGGAGTCTTTCCAGCACTCTACGAAGTAGGGCAGCGTTACTGTTTATCGCTTGAGGAACAAACTTCTTATGGATCATGCCTTGTCGTCGAAAAGAACATTGTTGTCGGTTTGCTGGTTTTGACGGACGCCCAGAACCTTTGTTCAGCGTGAACCTCTTCCCGGCCCTCAAAGACCTTTAACCATCTTGATACTTGAGAGTAGGAAGAGCAGAATTCCCCATAAGCCTCACGAATCCATTTGTAAAGTCTCCTCAAGAGACTTTTCAGTTGTAGCGCAAAACTTAATCGGTAACGTTGCTCGTCGTCGATTCCCTTTTCTATCCGTGACACGGTACGCGGCGCACCCTGAGATTCCACGATAACTGACGTCTTACGCTTGCACAGCTTGCAGCGCAACTGAGGCCGGTTTCATAGCAAAGCCTAAGAGTCCCCTCACCTACTGCAAGTTGGTCGATCCCACTGACCAATAGGAGCGACGCGGAATCCAATTGCATTACTTCGGAATGCACCTTGTTATAACGAGAAATACATAGTTTAGAAAATAAAACGAGTCAGTGATGGCCAAGATGACATGCGTTTTGCGTGGCACGTGATGGTTAGAGACGCCTTTCTTGGTCTGTCACACTGATAGAACATGCTACAATAAGAATTTGAATTGTATTCGTAAAATTTTTTTAAAAAATTATTATTATTTTTTAACTTAAGTATACTTGTTGAAGTTTTGGTAATTCTTAACTCTTATTCACGAATAATTAAGGTGTGATTTCTTTAAACTAGCGAAAACTTCAAACGCGTTCTGCGAAATGTATTTTCGTTGATTGCCAGTGGATCGTTACCAGTTACTGCTCGAATTTTTTTTCGGGCGGCCGCGAGCGAAGAGAAGTGTGCGCGGAAAGTGTGGTGTAACGCCCGGCCTACGCAGCCCTTCTGCTGACGATCATGCGCTCCGACATGAATTCCATTTTCTTAGTAAAATACTTATGCGCTGACGATTAGTCTCAGAGGAAGCCGGAGAGGTGAAACTTCCCGATCCTCGAGGTCCGGCAACCGGTGATTCAATCCACTTATTCCACCATACCTTCACTGTACTGTCATACCATTATTGCCCTGGTAACAAAACTTCTCTAGTCCTTTATCATGAACAGCTCTCTTTCCGTCTATTCGTCTTCTATCTTTCTAACTTTTTGCACCATTTCTTTCAATCCCGTCGTTATAATGGAAAATTCTCTTCCGCAAGTTCTTGAACATCTTCCATACGAAATTAATGTCCTCTCCTAACACATTTTTTTTACTGTTGCCAACTCAATAGTATTCAGTTCTGGATATAGGTGGAGTCGTTAATACAGCTATGTCCTCGCTTCAGCAAGAACCGCCATCTATTTGTACATATATTCTGCGTCTATATTTAATTTTTTAAAGTATAAGTCGGGCCTTCCTCGTATCTCCCGCAATAGAATTCGGCAAATTAGGCATTCGCGATAGCATTCCAGATTTTTCGCGAATTAGATGTTGGAACCTGATTTCAGCTGAATCTAATGGGTAGGAAGCGTTATCAAGAACGGAAGACACTGTTTGAGGGCGAGGAAGACAATCTTTGCTTTCGAAATTGCTGTAATTCACGTCACGTGTATAGTGTCCAGTTATCTGCTAGGATTTTGCTTACATAAATAAGCTTCTTTCTCCTGCACGAAATATATATATATATATTATATATATAATATTATATATATATCATTAGTGACGTTATGGGATTGTGCAAACTCCATAACGTCACCGTTAGTCAGTGAACACTCACAAGCAGCGAGACATCCGTTTGATCGTACTAGAGCGCTCGAATAAGCGAGCAACGCTTTTCCCGTGGAGGGTTGAAAGAGGGGATGCAATCCCACTATTTAAAAATTTCCCCGGCGTCGGAGCCATAAATACGGGAAAACGCTCGGGAGGCCTTTCTGAATTCCGGCAAACCGATCGCATCGGCAAGCGCTTGAAATCAACAGCAAGGTAGCAAGGTCTTCTCGAGATAGAGTAGGAGTTTATTTAAATAACGTGGAGCATTGTAGACATTAGACTACCGAACGTGATAGGAGAAAGTAGTTGAAATTTTTGAAGGCGGCAAAAGTCTAATATTGCTAGATTCGAGCAGGACTTGAATTATTCACGTACAGTCATATTGTTCCTTATTTTCTGCACAGCCAAAAGTGTAGTATGTTAGGCCGCGCACGCAACGAACTGGGGCAGCAAATTAATAAAACTGGAAGGCGCGAAGATAGAAAAGAAGGCATCTCAAGAAGGCTCAAACGTAGCGTGCGAAAGGTATGGTCTTGGATGGAAGACAGGGGTGGCGAAGCATCTGGGTTCAGCGTGGGAGTTCGAACGGGCGAGCACAGTTGAGATTCGGCGAACCGTTGGGCGGCCACAACCTTGATGGCGAGGTCATATGGCAGCGAGCATCGGCAGCGTCGGTGGAGACACGTGGGTTTTGTACCACAGCGGTTGTCGTGTAGAAAAAAAAAGCGATCGCTTTTTGTTCTTGAAGTTCAATTAAAATCTTCCAGCGACAGTTGTGGGTAAAATTATTTTTTTTATATAATCAGCTGAAGGCCTTTGGTTGCATTACCTCTGTGTATTTGATGTGTGTTTTGAAGAAGAGGAGCGCGCGACAATAACATGAGGCTCGACGGGAGGCGCGACGAAACGACAACTCACAGATACAGCATTTTTGAGGTAGTGTTTGTTTATAAGAAGTCATCAGCGGAAGGGATCGTCCAAATCAATACTCGAATGATCACGAGAAGCCCTGTCGACAACTTCATCGTGTTGGGTATTCAGTCAAGTCGATTTTATGCTGATGGATGAGAGTGGACATGGCGGAGAGGAAGAGGTAAAGGAAAGTGCGTACGTACTTTAGTCCATGGCGCAGTTTGTCAATTTTAAGAGATCAAAACGGATCGCAGGGAAAAGGGTGAAAAATTAAAAGTGGTAAAAGAAACTAAAACTTTTTGAGAACGAACAAGAAAAACATCCCAAAACAGAGTTGGTAGTGTGAATGAATTTTGCAGAACAAAAGGCATCAGCAGACGTTCCTTCCATAGAATGAAAAAGGAAAACGAGAATGGAGAAATACCGACATCGAGAAAAATAACGTTAACTGAAGTATAGGGTCAGTAGGAAAATGAAGTACAACGATTTTGTACATACGGTACGTTTCAATTTCCATGCGTTTGTTTTTAAAATGTTCCTGGATCAATCGTATGTAACGAAAGAAGATAATGATAAACATTTACCAAATTTTGTTACACTTTATCGCTTATTAACAGAAATGTAATATTTAGGATATATAATATAATATTCATACAAGGAGCATTCCGAAAGTAATGCAATTATTATTTTTTAAATTAATTTATTGAACATATTTTCACAAAAACTTAAAATTCTTCAAAATACTGTCCTTGGGCTTCTACACATTTTTCCAGCGACTCTGCCATGAACGGTAGGCGCCTTGGAAGGCGTTTTCGGGGACCTCTCGCAAGGTCTTCGTCACGGCTGATTGGATCTCTTCTATGGACGAAAAACTGGTTCCTTTCAGGGCCACCTTAACCCGAGGGAACAAAACGAAATCTGCTGGGGCGAGAGCAGGACTGTAGGGAGAAAGGGGAAGCATTGGCACCCGATATTTGACCAGGAACTCGCGGACTCGTAGCGCGTTATGGCAAGGCGCGTTGTCGTGATGGAGTTGCCAGGTAGTGGAGATGACTTTTCTCGTCCTGACGACCCATTTTCGGAGTCTTTCCAGCACATCTACGAAGTAGGCAGCGTTAACTGTTTATCCTTGAGGAACAAACTTCTTATGGATCAGTCCTTTGCTGTCGAAAAAGACATTGTTGTCGGTTTTGCTGGTTGACGGACGCCCAGAACCTTGTTCATCGTGAACCTCTTCCCGGCCCTCAAAGACCTTTAACCATCTTGATACTTGAGAGTAGGACAGAGCAGATTCCCCATAAGCCTCACGAATCATCTTGTAAGTCTCCTCAAGAGACTTTTTCAGTTTAGCGCAAAACTTAATCGCGTAACGTTGCTCGGTCGTCGATTCCCTTTCTATCCGTGACACGGTCGCTGCGCAGAGATTCACGATAACTGACGTCTTAACGCTTGCACAGCTTGCAGAGCACTGAGGCCGGTTTCATAGCAAAGCTAAGAGTCCCCCTCACCTACTGCAAGTGGTCCGATCCCACTCCGACCAATAGGAGCGACGCGGGAAATCCAATTGCATTACTTTCGGAATGCACCTTGTATATACGAGAAATACATAGTTTAGAAATATAAAACGAGTCAGTGCGTGTGCGCTGCACAGTGAGGTTAGAGACAGCCTTTCTTGGTCTGTCACACTGATAGAACATGAACAATAAGAATTTTGAATTGTAGTTGTTAATTTTTTTAAAAAATTATTATTATTTTTAACAGAA